GAGGAGGCGAGTTCATCTGAGGACAGTCCCAGTTCTCAGAAATCCCTTCCCTGCTGGAACATCCAGCTCCCTTTACTGCAGTTGAACAAACTGCCCTAGATTGGGGGATGCGGAACCCGCCCCAAACTCGTGCAAGGAGCTCCGGGCGCCCGCGCCCACGTGAGCTAACCTTGAAATTAGCCCCCGCTCCCCGGCGGGAGGGGGCGGCGGGGCGGGGGCCGGCTGTTAGCCCCGCACGGCCCCAGCCCTCGGTGCGCGCCCTCCGCGCGCACGCACCGCCCCCACAACTCTGTTTCACAACTCCAGCGGCGTTGCATTTTTTTTTTTTAATTTCCCGGGTAAGATGGGTGTGGGGCGTGTGTGTTGAGGAGAGAGGACAGGCCACCTTCCACCCCCACGCCCGCGAGTAAGAGAAAAACCTGCCCTGCGGTCCCCCTGGGAACACTGCGGAGTAGGGTGTCGAGATGACATCAGCTTCTAAACATAGTCAGCACCGCACCCCAACTCTGAGCGCTGCGAGCAGGGCACGCGGGTGGGGAGACGGTGGGGGAGGCGGGTGCCGCTGTCCCCAGGCGGGGCGGGGCGGGGCGGGCGGGCCGGCCGGGCTGTGCTGGAGGAGATGACTTTGCAGGAATTGTGCTCTCCTAGTTTGCAGGCTGCGATGGCCCGGCCACCGGGTTAGGAAACATTCCTGCCATTCCGCAATCCCCTACCCCAGGAGAGATACACAGACGCACACACGCACGCTTGGATCGAATGTGACTTTATGTGTAGATCAACCCATCCCCGGCGTAGCGCCCAGGTCCGGTCCGGTCCTGGGAGCACCCGCGCCCTCCAGCCCCGCGCCGGCCTCCCGGCTAAGGGTCGGTGCGGCCCTCCCGGTGAGTCAGATGGGCAGTGTTTCCTGTGCTTGTTGTGGAACAGTTTGTCCTTTTTACTCCCCCCGCCCCGCGCCCCGTCTCCACCCCCTTGGTAAATATAGCGCTCACGTTTCATCATCTCTTTGTCCAACGAGTGCCAGACACCCCGGCCCGCGGCCCCCGCCGCCTCCCTCCTCCTCCCGGCTCGCGGTTACCTCGCATAACCCCGCGCGGGCAGGCGCCGGGCTGCAGCCTACCCGCGGCCCGCGCCGGCCCTGCACCCCCGCGCCTCGCCGCAGTGCCCTCCCGCCCCTCTCGCGGCCCCCCCGCCGCCTGCAAGCCCCCTGCGGTAGGGGTGTCCACCTCCCCACACCTGCACACAACGTCTGCCGTTCCCCTGACACCGGGTAGAGGGGTGGGACAA